GGTTTAGGAGGTGTGAAAGGGTGGGTGGATAGACGCCGCAACGACGCCTAAAAGTCGAGGCGCCTGCCCCTCACTGTTCACTAGATCTTTTAATCCGAGCATACACGCTTAAAATTAATCACCCTCTCATACATTCTCTCTTCTTGCATCGTAAGACACAAGTTTCTAATGAATTATTCATTAATCTATTAGTTTTCCGCAATTTTACAGATTATCGCTAGCTAGATTTAATTAATTTTAATTATAACTTCAAAAGGTCTACTAAGAATAGATACGTTAATTATTTAAAGGTTTTCTCTGTTACCTAAGACGTCATCGCCGTCGAGGTTGAGATCAGAAAATGTGGGCTCGTAAAATGCAGTAGCAGATTACCGGTACCAAATTACCAATGCCAAAATACTGAAATCCAATATTTTAAGTCTTAACCTGCAGTCATCAGAAATGTTCGCAAAAAGTATCTACTTTAAATTCATGACACCTCATATATATAATTGGCTATTGTATTCTTTATATATTTTAAGAGGAATTAAGAAATTACGCACGTTAAAGAATTAAACGTAATGACAATTATCATTATGATAAATAGAGATTTGTTTAATTGTGTTGTAAATAAAAGGCTACTTTTTTGTGATAATTTGCTGTTTTGTTTACTTCTATCTCATCTTGCATTGCATTATACGTATTTAAATTAGAAATTTTAGTGCTAATGTCCGTTTTTCAAATGTTTACTTATATGTTTTTTTGTAGATTGTTTGTTTGATGGAAGATATAAGGAAGATATTACACTTACTAAAAAACATGTCACTAAAATTACAGGAAATTTATATATGAATGCTTGATTTAAAACAAAAATGTGTGAACAGGTGGGATTTTTATATGTAAATTGACAATGAGAGATCTTAAATAATCAAAACGACAGATTATCAAATGTATTTGTTGCAACTGCGCATATTCATAATGTTAACTTTAACAAACAAGCTAGGGGATTTTAAGGCTTTGTATTGCATTGAATTTAGTTACGGGAAGTTATATGAACTAAATACGAATAAATAAAATCGATATACAAAGCGTGAAGTTCTTGAATTCTTTTGTGTAGATACATTTTTAACATTCACGTTCTGTAAGGAATAAGGACTGGTCTTTTATGTATGTTGCAGATATATTTATCTGATACATAATCTCTAGATGTGAGTACATTTAAATATTATATTGTTTCCAAATTGACAAAAATGTTGACGCCATCTTCAGATTTAAGTTGGTCAAGATAGGCAGGCGCATTGTCCAGTAACAATACCGCTTATGGAGGGAGATTATTTTCACTAAGAAACGTTTTCACCGGAGGAACAAATTTTTCAAAAAACCACATGCTGCACGACAGGACAACTTCTGGGATTCAAATTTTTCCTGACACATTGGCACCGCACAAAACGTACGGTCTTACTTAGTGATCTTCAATTATTGTTTCAATAATACTGAAAATTGGAGAAAAAAATTGACACGTGTAATTTAAGCCTAGAGCTTTTTTAAACTGCATGTCTGTGCCGCTTTGAATTATTAAAACTTACTGTAACTCTAATGGAATAGAATTTAACGTATAGCAAAAAAATTGAAATATAAATTATTATTAAATCGATTAAGAATTTCTTGTTCCAAACGTATCCTACTCCAAAGGAAAGTTGTTAATCTTAAAGCCAGAGATTTCCTGGCGCCCTAAAGTGAAACAGAATTTAATTTTCGAAAATGGTGAAAGCTTAAACCGCTGAACTATATTTTTCATTTCCGAATGACCATCATTTAACAACATTAAATACATTAAATGGTCGCAATACGAACGTAGAGATATGAATGGTAAAATTCAAAGTAATTAATTTCATAGCTGACAGGTCGCAGTTTATAAGGGTGATTTGATATTTCTTGAAATAACGACGCTAATATGGATATTTCATGAATTTTCAAGGGTGAAGAGTTTAAATTTTAAATTTTCCGTACGCTTGAAAATCAAAATCATTCATTTCATCATCTTACATTTTGGATTTCATAAGTTAGGTAAATACGTAGGAAAATATCAACGTATCTAAATTTTACCATCATTAATATCTAGATGGTGCGTGTATAAAATTCTACACCCTGATAGTGCAGGGGTTAAGAGCCAAAATAGGTTTCAACCTTGCACTTTGTGATAACTTTATGAAACTTTCAGAGGATGTTCTAGACACCCTAAGGTTCAATTTCAGCTATGCCGCCACCCCCACAACCCCGGACGGCACTTCCTATAGCGGGTTTCTTAAGCGCAAGGTAGCATTTCAATACCCGCCCATAAAATGGGTCAAAAATGTATGTCTAGGGTTTGTTTTGTATTTTCTTACATCTAGGAAGATTGAAGGGAATTGTCAAATACCCAGGGCGAATTTATTTAGGGTATTTTACGTGGTTTGCCTATTTTTAAGGCGCTTTGCCCTTTGAATTTTCTTTCGAAATTGGTTTCTAGTCCTATAACTTTTGATTGAGAAGTCTGATCGAAAAAGTACGAATTGTTTTGGATTCTACGCACCAAAATTAATAAGAAAAAGTGTTTTTCCGAGAAATTTTGGTGCATTCGATTTTTGGTAAAAACAAGGAAGGTTATAATACACTACCTTTTTTTGAGGCTCGAACAAAAAATTGTCTCAGATCGACCGGGAAAAAACATTTTCTTATAGAATGTGCCCTGTAGAATCCATAATTTCAAACAAGATCAAAAGTTACAGCCCTTTGAATTTTTTGTCGAGATTGGTTTTTTGCCCATAACTTTTGATTGAGACGTCTAATCGAAAAAGTACGAAACGTTTTGGATTCTACGCACCAAAATTAATAAGAAAAAGTTTTTTTCCGAGAAATTTTGGCGCATTCGATTTTTGGTAAAAAAGGAAGGTTATACACTACCTTTTCTTGAGGCTCGAACAAAAAATTGTCTCAGATCGACCGGGAAAAAACATTTTCTTATAGAATGTGCCCTGTAGAATCCATAATTTCAAACAGTTCCACGATTGGGCTACTAGTTGAAAAGTTACAGCCCTTTGAATTTTCTTTCGAAATTGGTTTCTAGTAGGGAATGCAATCCCGCAGCAAAATCTCAATCCCGGTATTTGCGGGATTGTTAGATGTTAATCCCGCGGGATCCCGGAATTTGCGAGATCTCGCAAAACTTTAAATAAATTGGCAAATAAGCAATTCTGTGCGGTTAACTTCTGTATTAAACTAAATCGCTAATTATCACAATATTTAACAAAAAAGTACCTTCGGCCTAACTTAGAACTCAAAAAAACCTTACCTGTAAAGCACAAAAAGTATCGACTTTGAATGTGACTTCTTAAACGTGGATCCGGGCAGACTTGAGGGAGCTCACACAGTGTTTAAGAGTCTTTTTTGACAATGAGGCCTGTGGTAAAATAACAGTGACCCAACAGATTTCTAAGTAAAATCGATAACGATTTGTGTTAAAAATGGTAGTGGTTAGTGGTAGGTATTCCTTGGTTGTCACTATTGTGTTTGGTATTTTTAAAATCTCTGGTACTCGTATTCTATTGTTTTCTTGTATAGTTTTTGGTGTCCTTGATCACAAAAAATAAAAAAAAAGTTGAACGAAGTGCACCAAAAGAGTAGGTACCTACTATATAATGAGAATAATAATATTATGCCTGTGTACGAAGGGTGAACAGTGGTATAAAATACTTGGCTACTTGACGAAACCAATTGAGGAGCATTTGAAATTATGGAATAATTAGTTGCTATTTATCTAAGTGCATTTATATGTAAGTTATGAGTTGCGTAAAGGTAATTATGAAATGGTCTATGATCGATTCATTCTGTATGTGTATTTTATATAAAGACGTTTCTTTTACGTACTTGATAAATGTATGTACAGGTATAAATTTACAGTTAGAACGGCAAAGTTCAAGTAGGTATAATGGAGAGAGTCAATCGTAATTTGTATAGATCACACAATTGGTCGATTATGGTTATTTATCTATAATCAAGGAGTGATCATGTCTGTAGTTGTACATCAAAGAGCGCGTGAATAATTCCCGGGGAGCAATCACTTTGAAGTCGTTTTATAAGTACCATCGACTATCTGGACTTCTTTTTCTTATAAACTATTTAACTTTCGTGTGTAATTTGTGGGGTTTCGATTGATGACGTTCGTTGTTTATTTGTGATTCGGCTACTCTTTAATTAGGTTTTAAGATTCGCGATCGGTACGTATAATAAAACTTTTGATTACGATCGTCGGCGACATTATTTCTTACCTCGTTCTCTGATTATCGCCTTTTTTTTTATTAGATACGATCCGACTATCATTTCATATTCACCCTTCCACACTACTCCCAAGTTATACACGTATAAAACTGCAACTTTAACAATGATTGCTGAAAGTTTTCGAATTTAATTTCGGCATTCAGTCATCCTTTATGTATTTCTGCTTGAAGATATTTGAATATAAAGTACCGTCGATCGGCATAGGAGACACAACTAGATACGATTGGTCCTTTGCGATTTGCATAATCGTATGTGCGGTTACCTGCGCGGAAATCTCGAATGTTCCCTTTAGTCCCGTTAATAAAGGGAAATAAAGGAATAGCGGTCAAGCTCTTCGATCGCCTCTCAAATATCGAGATATGTATTTCGTGTCTCCAATAGCACTTAGGCGTGACGTCGCCACCCGCGAAAATTTTATACGCTCGCAGAGTCGTTACGACTCTTTTTTATGGTCTACGATTTGAATCTTTTGAGATTTTCGATTGGGCGCCGTTTCCTGGCATTCTTGAAGGCGCCGTGGCTCCTGGCTCCGTATATCACCTTTACGGAGATATTGAAGGTAAAACTGTCTCGTTAGCGATTGCCGGGCGACATAAATCAATTCGGATAAAAGTAAGAGGACTTAATGGCCGCAGGTGGGCCATAAATGTTCTCCTGATATTCATAATTCATACAATATGCATCCAAAAGCGCGTATAACCGTAATAAACGCTTCATTTTGTTTCAGAATTCAATCCGACACAATCTTTCCCTCCACAACCGATTTATGCGGGTGCAGAATGAGGGTACCGGAAAATCGTCCTGGTGGATGATCAATCCTGACGCGAAACCCGGCAAGTCGGTGAGACGAAGAGCGGCCTCGATGGAAACGAGCAAGTTCGAGAAACGAAGAGGACGTGTCAAGAAGAAAGTGGAGGCGTTACGGAACGGCCTAACCGATCAGACCACGAGCCCAAGCTCGTCGGTGTCCGAAGGATTGGATTTATTTCCCGATTCGCCGCTTCCAAGGTAGGTCTGGCTTGTGGTACAGTTTGTGATCGGTTTTAATTAGCGGGGTTTCTTAGTAGCGGGGGTTTCCAACTAAGTCCAGATTTTCGCCCTCGCGCTTCCTCAAATACGTCCTCATGTGGACGTTTATCGCCTATTCCTGCCGTTGTTGGATTGGAACCCGACTGGAGCTCACCGTCACCTTTCACAAATCCAAATTACAGTCCAGAAATGGCCGGTAATTACTCACCTGATCAACTAGCCGGAAATTTAGAACAAGGCATGAAACTACAAACCGATGCCTATTTGGGGTGAGCACTCGAATGTGGTGCTTTATTGCATTTGCTTATACTATTTGGGGTGGTCGACGATTATGGTACTGCTTCTGTTCCTTATTCGAAAAGTTGGGTGTTAAAGTGTGTTGTTTAATGACTAGTATTCGCGTTACTGATCAATTCTTAACTTGCACCTCAGTGACCACACTTATGATCAAAACATTCGCGGGGAAATTATGCAAAAAGATCTCCTCTGAATAAGAAAGAAATAATTTACCTACTATACAATACCTGCTGAGACGAGTACCCACAATTCCTATGCAGAGTTTAAGTGAAGCGCGTCACCAAGACGTCACCCAATTCAAGGATGATAAGTGATGGTAATATGAAGCTGTATAGATTTCAAAAGAAACTTTAACACCCAGCATGTCAATTTGACGATCGGTATCACAATTGAAATCACCTCGGGCTTATTTTGCTAAGCATTAGAAATCTGTCAAAAGTCGGGAAATGTTTAAGAGGTAGTTTTTCGCAGGTACCTCAATGGTCAGACGACTCAGCCTCCCCCTCCACCTTACACAAATCCATATGAGACTTTTTCACGTAGAGAGATTAACCACAATCCGTACGGTGCTTTAATTCAGTGCCCCATTCACCGTTTGCAGGCGTGTAGCTGTATACCTGTGCAGTGCAAAGTGGAGGTGAGTAAAAACGCTGGGAAAAACTGTTTTGTGGTGCCAATCAAAAAACACTTTTAGCGAATGTCGCCTCCGGAAATGTCGCCGAATTATCCTCAATCGGAACCATCCCCAGATCCCCTTAGCACTCATCAGTACCTTTTAGGCAATAGAACGTTACCTAGACCACCTTCAAGCAGTCCGCCCTTAACGCCACAGTCAACGCAAAGCACTCCTTCGACGATGATGGGACAGTTAATGGGTGCGCTAAATAATAGTGCGCTACTCGACGACTTAAATATAAACATCGAATCGTTTCAAGGTGGATTCGATTGCAACGTAGACGAAGTAATAAAACACGAACTCAGTATGGAAGGAAGTCTAGATTTTAATTTTACGGGATCGCATCATCCCAGTATGGTAGTATCTCAACCCGACGTTCGGCCGGTAGTCGGTCCCAACAATCAAACTTCCGCACCTCCGTCGTACTCGACGACACCCTCGTGGGTCCACTAACGAAATACGTTAAGGTAAGTGCGATTCTCGCTGAATGTTTTATCGGGTAAGTAATGACCGCGCGTTAAATGATAATACGTTATGCACCCCCGTCGCATTGAAAAAGTTGAAGCCCTCGCCACATTAATCTCGGTTATATATGCATTAAACAAATCGGCGGCGGTGACTACGAGACGGCGCATTCATCATCAGTCCCGAGCGAGTCTTGTCATTGCGATTACAATATTTCGTCGTCGGGAGCGGCGAGAATTAAGCGAGGTCGACGTTGGGAACTGTCAAATTTTAATAATTTTCCCCAATACGCGTCGCTACCGCTCAATTATGCGACTTCCCCAGATACTACTTGTCAACTTATCAAGGGCCTAGAAATTGTCACCTCTTTAAATTTTATATTCAATTTTCTCAGATAGAAATTTGATTATGCGTTCGCCTAGGACACGAGTCACAGCCTCGAGATCTTTTGAAATTCTTATGAGCGAGCGACTTTTTCGAAAATTAATCACTTTAACAAACTGAATTTCTAATGCACCAAAGAGGGCGGTTCGAACTTTTTTACTAACGCATAATTTGCATTACTTTAATTTTGTTTACATTCGAATATATTAACTCACGTTTAAAATCTTTCGAAACAACCCTTCGAATATCTAATTTTCTTGAGGGATAAATTGTAATCGATCTTCTCCACATTAAAAGAAGTAATTAACCAGAGTTTTCTTAAAACTTTTAAATAATTACGAGTCTGTTGGCGACGTAAATTAATTTTTCATCTCGATGTAATTATACAAGTATGCTAATGTCCTCCTATAAGTAAGTATAGATCTAAAAAAAAGTTTAAATTATCCAATGAATATTACAAAATTAATATTAAAAAAAACTAATTTTCCTCTTTTAATGAACTGAGGGACGGAGCGGGGTTCCTTGCCACCGACTATTTTAACTAATTAATATTTCCCACTAATTTGCAATCGTCTACAAGCTCGAAGAAAGTAATGGTGTGAATACTGGACTGAGAGAAGATGAGGGTGACTGCTATGAAGGTGGACATGTTCAAGATCACGGTGCTAATTGTGTTTTGTTCTTGTCTTACTGTAATTGTATTGGGCTTTTTTTTTGTTGGGTAATACAGTCTGTGTTATTGTCTTATTGAAACACACGCTTATAATGCTTACGGTGTATTACAGGTTTCAGTATTTTAGATGTAAAAACGAGGCGATTATGGAATAAAATGAAACTCACAAATCGCGGAAAGAGTAAAATTAAGACAAAACAGCAAGTGGTAACTTGTTGCTCGCCTCGATACACGAAAACAAGCACCTTTTCTACTAAAGTGGATAGAACCTTTCGCCATCTTGCCGGAATGATCATATGCGCTATATTTAATACCTACCTCTTCTTATTATTGGCAATTATCCAACAATCTGTTAATGAAGGCTTTTTCATCACGTTAAGACATTTAGAATCTGACCAAAAGGCAAATTTTAAATAGTTATCAAATGCTTCTGCATCAAAGTGGAATGATTTATTTTATATCTCTTTTAATTAGCTCTCCGTTTGCCAGCCGAAACAAATTTATTTAATTTTTCCCCAACTCCGTATTTCGAAATAAACTTTTTTTTGCGGAGAATCAGGTCACGGTTGGGCCATTGATAATAAATGTAATCATTCATTTTTGAAATGTTTATATTAACGTAATTTTTAATTATCTTTAAAGATAATTTAATTATTGCTGATGTTATGTGCCTAATCCGCAACTAATATCACAGTTGTGTGCTTGTCACTTAATGGGGTGATAATACAGTTACACTAATGAATGAGTATTGCCAGTTCTCCCTTGTCGTGTCAAAATGTAATCATTTGTGAAAATTGCAAGTTTTTGTGTTAAAATTAGAAAGAAATAATTTTATCAATTAAAAAATAATAACGTTAAGAACAAAAAGAATTACAATTAACGTGGGTATTGCCCAAAATCCGTACCTACAAAATAAGTGCAAATGATTAAATTTATTGTACGTGACGCTGAAAATCGTTGTTAGGTGCTCACTAATAGGTACTTGAAAGCAACATGTCGATTTTGCTTTTAGTTTTACTTAGTGTTCATAAGTTCCTCATTTTTTGTTGAAGATTTAGGTAAGTACTGAAAGCATTTAGGTGCTTATCAAAAATTTCATGTTCGTATAAATAATGTACATATATACTGGATTCTCTTTCACACATAAGTATGTATGTATGTATGTAATGTAGACAGTAAAGCATTTGCTGGTGTTGTAGTGGTGTAGTGGTGGCTATACTCACGTACTCCTCACCTCTGACTCTAGGACAATTCCTCTAAAAGTAGATCAAAACCGCTCAAATGGACCTGGACAGATGTACGGACGGACAAAATGCAAACAATAACAAATTTTTTTATTCTTAAAAAATGGGCTAAAAATAGAGAACGGCATGTTTCTATTTAAAAAAACCAAGATGGAAGCACGTCCGTTATTTCCGGAAGCGGAAGCCATCTTGAAATTATTGTACTCGTATTTCAATTAGCAATGGTCGATTATATAGGCGTAAATGAAATTTCAATTTCTATTCAATTGCTACATGAATTCGCTATAGGTATATTAATTCGATGTTTTATTGGAAAATTATTGAGATCGACTGTATCATGCCCAAGGAACGTCTGTAATATTGCTCCATATTTAAGGGGTTTCATAAGACAGATATTTTACAGTAGATAAGGAAGCTGGTTCTGTTCATGGGTGACACACCCACACTGAATTTCCTTTTATTCAAAGGACCTACTGTGTCAAGAACTAATTGTTTTGACATCAATGAAAACAATTCCGTCTTGTTTTAAGTTACTCGAAGGAAATCTTTCCAATTTTCCATGACAGAGGCAGACCAGACTACTTTTCTTGCCGCCTGTCACTTTACGGCCCACCTGTCACTTTACCGGCTGCACCGGTCACTTTTCCGGACGCACCTGTCACATTGCTAAATGTCTATAATGACTCCTGTCTCTATATGAGAATTGAAATTGTATTAAATGCGAAAAAATTCATGACTAATTGTGTTTTTACTAACGTTCTTGAATAGGAGACTAGATGTGAGTTTTTCTTTCGAAGGTACAAAACTACAACTCTCTTTCACGATAGAAATTATTATATCATAAATGCGTACCTAACTTTTTCTTTCTTTAGAATTTAATTATATAGAAAAATGTCAAAAAGTCAGCCTATAATTGAATTTTATGCTGTGATCTACACACAGTGTACATGCAGTTGAAGAGATTAAAAATAAACGTTGGCCAACTCCAAAATGAAACAGCAAAACAAGGGGTCTTTTCCAATGTTTTTTTACAAACGGTAGGTCGGGAAAGAACCGGTTACGTAGGTAATTGTTAATGTCATATTATGTTAATTGTGTTCAAACTTTATTCAAGGTTTTCGTCAAAAAATTTCGTTTGTTTTTGCTTCTCGATTACATTTTTAAATTGACTTATACTAGAAGTGTTCAAAAATCAATCTCGTATCATTTAATATTGGACTGAATTTCAAAACTTTGCGACTACCGCCATGTCAAAAAAACTTAAAAAGTCGTTTACAAAGTGACATTTGGTTCCTCTATTATCCAAGTCGGATAATTACGGAATTTTTGGTGGGTAAACTTACTATCACGTACCTAAATTACGTTTTAATTGGTTCTTGCAATATGTGAAAATTCCCTCAGCCTCCGGTGCTCGCTATCAGGGCATTTAGTTTTTTGCATTCACTCCTTCAATCCAGTAAATAAAAATAAATAAAAGGAACCACCCCCAAGTGCGAAAGTTCCTTAAATTTTGTGGATTGGTTAGCCCATTCCTGCGTTGGCGGGGTTGACAAGCATATTGTGTTGGTTTAGCCCAGTCAATTTAGACCGAAAATGGGCAATCAGAGGAACTAAAAATACTAGTTCCAATTTTTTCAGAAATGTGTAGGAAGAGGTTCCCTGAACAAGAAAAAATAAAGTCCCTCCAAATTCCGGTGTCGCTAGGGGAAGGAGGGGGCTTTAAACGACCCATTTTTCAGTTTTTCGCTTTTAACTCGAAAATGGTACGTTACAGTGAAAAAGTTCTTCAGTACAAAATGAAAGCTTATTAAAATTGCTACTTTACTTTTTCTTGTTCAGGGAACCTCTCTCTACACATTTCTGAAAAAATTGGAAATAGTATTTTTAGTTCCTCAAAAAAGGGCAGTATAACCTTCCTTTTTTTACCAAAAATCGACTGCACCAAAATTTCTCGGGAAAGCACTTTTTCTTATTAATTTTGGTGCGTAGAATCCAAAACAATTCGTACTTTTTGGATCAGACTTCTCAATCAAAAGTTATAGACTAGAAACCAATTTCGAAAGAAAATTCAAAGGGCTGTAACTTTTGAACTAGTATAGCCCAGCCAATTTAGACCAAAAATGGGCAATCAGAGGAACTAAAAATACTACTGAAGAACTTTTTCACTGTAACGCCCCATTTTCGAGTTAAAAGTGAAAAACTGAAAAATGGGTCGTTTAAAACCCCCTCCTTCCCCTAGCGGCACCGGAATTTGGAGGGACTTTATTTTTTCTTGTTCGGGGAACCTCTCCCTACACATTTCTGAAAAAATTGGAACTAGTATTTTTAGTTCCTCTGATTTTCCTATTTTGACTGGACTAGTTTTGGAAAAATCAATTTTCCTTTTCTGTAGCCGTGGAAACTTAAGTAGTTTCTAGAAACATTCATTCATATTTCTCGACTAGTACAATTAAAATTGATTTTATTTTCAACTAAATAATGAGTACGAGGTTTGTGTTATAGGAAAATATGTTCGACCCCTGTAATAAGGGAGGGAAGTTGGACATCCATCCATTCCAACAAATTCTTGTAATGCAGCCTGCATTTTGGAGGCGCACTTTGATGTCGCAAAACCAAAAATCGGGTTGGAACTGAATATTTCCCTCATTTCCTTCCAAATTAGTAAATTTAGCAAAAAAACCATTAAAACATAAAAAGTCTA